TTCACTTTTTCAAACTTTTCCGATAACATGGAGCTACAATAATCAATTCTTAATGAAATAAGCTATGTACGATCTAGAAGTATACTTGGAATTGATTAGATGAAGTGTTTTATTGATTTCTCTTTTCTAAATACATGCATCTGAGCATATTTAACTCGCCAACATTGATGAATTGGAATAAAAATAAATGACAAGATTTTAATTTTGTGGAAAAAACTCCGCATGACCAATATTTCCATGAGATCGTTGTCAACCTCAATATTAGACTTTTTTCTGCCTGCCAGAATTACCTCTGTTTTATCATCGCTCGACATCAATTACCTGTTTTTGTTCACCCAGTTTTTCTCAGCACGATGGAAAAGTTCAGTTACGTTGGTTAACTTTGTTGATCATTTTGCTATATCACCAGCATAGAAATTATTCTTTACGTCAAGTCAAATATTTCCTTGACTAGGGGTTGAGTATAATGGTGAACAAAACTGGACAGAGGACGGCGCCTTGTCTATTTGACAGGTAAGAACAAAATTAGCTAAGGACAGTTCGGAATATTCCAAAAGACACTTGCAAATGCGTCTGGCGGCGTGTAAATGCTACACCACCGACGAGGATGGACAGACAACAAAAACAAAACGACAACAGACAAGCACATTTTAATAGAGATAGAGTCTTATCAAGCCATTGACCTATTTGGGGTTGTAACTAAGCAACTTTCTATGTGGTAACAAACAGACACCACAAAAAAGACCTGACTTCTTGCAACAAAACGAAATAAAACAAATCTCATATTAAGAACAAAATTTGTCAGTTTTTGCTTCTAACACGGCTTGGCTATCATCTGAGTGCAAAAGTTTAGGTCGAAAAAATAAATCAGAAGATATAAAATGAAGACAACGAGCGCTGTGAGAGCTAGGAATCGAACAACTAGTTTTGAAAAATGGCATTACCCTGCAACTACAATGCATTATAATATTATGGTCGATATTTTAGAACCTGCTGGCTTTTTCTTTCTTGACAAAGCGATTTATGTCTTTATTATGTTTTAGGCTTGAGAGAGCAGCCATCCTCTCCTCCCTCTCGCGCCTTAGGATCGATAAGCCGAAAGGCATATATTTTTGTACGTTTTACAGCACTTGCAACTCAGACAGGTCATTTCAGTGCCTAGGATAAGATCTGTTAAGTTAGATAATAACTAATAACGTACAAAGAACTGAAAGAGGAGAAATGAGGACGATAAATATTTAATGGGAAATAAGGGGTTACGTCTATGGAGCTAAGATGTAGCTGTTTGGCACAAAGCCGCCGTATACAGAGACTTGAGTTAAAGTTTTTGTTTGAGGAGTATTTTTTCAAGTATCACCCGGTTGGTCTTAAAACACCAGGTGAAAGTAAACCAGCTCCCTTGATGATCTAAAATGCGTTGACAGGAACGTTGAATATCTACGGTTTTGAAAAGGTTAAGTATCTTGTTATGCTTTATCATGTACGTAATGTTCCCCCCAGCCCCTTCCTTTGGAACAAAAAATAACTGCTCAACACACACACACACACACACACACACACACACACACACACACACACACACACA